GGGAAACTTTAATCTTTGTACTTCAGGCTACTTCACAATAAGCCAGAATTCCTCTGTGGGAAACTTTAATCTTTGTACTTCAGGCTACTTCACAAGTACTGCCCACCACTAATATTATACACCCTTGATGGTAGCCGGTACAATGTCATGAACAGTTCAGGTCTCAGATACTAATTTAATTGGTTAGAATTGAATCATGCTTTACTAGGTTGGTGTGCCTCTCTCAATCCTGTCAAGTCGATAACCACATTAACCACGATAGCTTGGAGCAGAATGCTACAGTTTGGATCTTAAATTTGCCCCTAAATGTTCATATGTTCTGGGGTGCTACCTAGGTGGTAGAACCTTTAAGAGGTGGGGCCTAATGAAAGGAAGTTAGGTCACTGAGGGTGTGACCCCGAGACCTGTATCCACTGCTCCCTGTCTCCTTGAGGGAAGCAGCTATCTTCTGTAAATGCGGTCCCCTCTGTGCTACCTGCCTCACCATAGGCCCCCAAACAATGGAGCTCACCGACTGAAACCTGTAAAAATATGAACCCAAATAAATCTTTCTTCTTCCTTTTAAGTATATTTTGTATGGTCTCTTGTCAAAGTGAAAATATAACACATTAGACTTTATTTTTCAGAGCACTTTTTTAGTTCACAGTAAAATTGAGTATAAAATCCAAAGAATTCCCATATACCTCCTTCCTTATCCACCTTCCCAGCAAATTCTCCACCATCAATATCTTGCAAAAGAATTGTACACTTTTTACAATCGTTAAACCTACATTGTTGCATGATTGTCACTCAGAATCCATAGTGTGCTTTGGGGTACATTCGTGATTTGTACATTGTCTAGGTTTTGACAAATGGATAAGGACATGTATCCACTCTTATGGTGTCACACACTAGTTTCACCTGCCTAAAATCTTTGCTTTACACTTACTCTTCTTTTTCTCCCCTCAATCCATGGAAACCACTATCTTTCTACTGTGTCCATAGCTTTGCACTTTCCAGAATGTCAAATAGCTTAAAGCATACAATGTGTGATCTTTTGGACTGGCTTCTTAATGCCATTATGATTCCTCCAAATTTTGTCATGGCTTTTCAGCTCTTTTTTTTTTTTTAGATACTAACATCTGAACCTCGGGCCGGGGATTTAGCTCAGTGTTTCCGGCGCCTGCCTCGCAAGCGCAAGGTCCCAAGTTCGATCCCTGGTACCAAAAAAACCACACACACACACACAATTGAACTTTAGCCTTCTCACTGAGGTACAACCCCAGCTCATTTTTTAATTTTTTGAGACAAGTTCTCACTATGTTACCAAATTGCCCAAGCTCGTCTTGCCCTTATGATCCCCCAGCCTCAGCCTCCTAGAATGGATGAACCATGTCCAGCTGCTAGCCTATTTCTTTTTAGCACTAAATGCATTCCATTATTTATACGTGCTACAGTTTGTGTATCCATTCACATAATGAAGAACATCTTGGTTGCTCCATGTGCGGGTATTTGAATAGAAATTACTTTTCACTTTATTTGGGTAAACACTAAAGTATGTGATTGCTAGATCATATGTTGATCTTGTAACAAATCACCGTAGTGTCTCTAAAGTTACTGTATCATTTTGCATCTCCATTGGCAGTGAAGGACAGTTCCTGTCATTCCACATTTTGGCCAGCCTTCGGTGTTGTTAGTGTTCTAGGGCTGGACCATTATAATAGGTATGTAGTGGTATCTCATTGTTTAGTCTATATTTCCTTAGTGACACTTGATGTAAGCACTTTTTCATAGGTTTAATTGCCATCTTCATGTCTTATTTGATGAAATATCTGTTAAGGGATTTTTCCCAGTTTTAAATTTGTCTTCTTGTTGTGTTTTGAGTTCTTTGTATATTTTGCATAATAATTCTTTATCAGATATGTCTTTTGTAGATATTTTTCCCTGCCTTTGGCTTTTCTTCTCATTCTCTTAATAGTACTTATCAGAGAGCAGAGATTTTAATTTTAATGAAGTTTACCAAATATTTCTTTCAAGGATCATGCCTCCCATTCTTTTATCTTTAAGTATTCTATATTGTTATATTTTAGGAATATTTCTTATTACCCTCACAGAGCTAGATTTTCATGTAATTCACAGTGACTATCTTTTTTAAAGAATAATCAATCATTTTATATTTATTTTATTTCATAATATATTTGATTTATTTCTGCATTATTTTCTTCTTTTCTCCCACTCTTACTGGATGTGTAAAGTTCTCTTTATTTTTACTTATTAGGATCTCTTATTAAGTTCTTCATTTCCTTTCTTTTATTTCTTTGTGTTTTCTTTCAATTTTCAGGGAGAAAGCACAGTGTAAGGGCTTGGCAAGCAGACTCCAGACTATTCAGAGCATTGCTAACTGTCTCCCTGCAGAATGATGCTGGGAAATCATAGAAAAAGAAATACCTCATACTCACACTGGTAAAGTCAATTAAGTTTGTACATAGGAAAATTAGCACAGACGTTGACACGATATAAGTTACATATTATCACTTTATTATTTGATTTGAAAGTTATCCAGTAAATCATTTAGATACCATCCTTAGAAATTTACTGTGCATGAATGACTAAGCAGTCTACACTTAATCACTGTCTCTACTTTCCACCCATATAACACTAATGAGGAGCTCTTTTCTTATCTTACTGGTTATTTTTCTCACTGTTTCAGTTTGATATTATTTCTATTCTTTCACAAACTACACATTCATTATTATTGTTTGCAGTGAATACTTATTTAAATTTACTCATTTGTTTATGAAAATCTGTTCCTATAATTTCATTTTGCATATCTTTCCCACCTAGACTTAATTTTTTTTCCTGTATTATATCCTATTATATTAGTTTCTTAAAAGAATTTGTATCTAAACTCTGGAGGACTTGATTTTGCTTTTTCTCTTTTTAAAATTATTTTTATTTTATGGAAAAATAAAACAAAATTTCATAACAAAATAAGAGACTAACAATAGTTAATACACTGTGTATCATTATCTTCAAAGTATTTACTCAGAATTCCAGACATAGACAAAAATATGCTCTTTAACAGAGAAGCAAATGGACAGTAGCATAAAAGTTTTCTTTCAATGAACTAACATGCCTCGACCCACCCAGCGTTGGGTCCAAAGCTAGGGAGAGTGGTGGGAGATGAAGAAAATTGAAAAATACCAAGAAACAAAGATACATACCAAAATTGATGCTTGAAAGCTGGGACCAGGTGGAACCGCAGCCTGATGAGCTAATGACTGCCTGGAATCCAGCACGCTCTTTATTTATAGTGTAAGACAGACAGGAAGAGAAAGCAGGGTCTCCTGATCTGCACAGACAAGGAACAAGGAAGAAGGATACACAATGTAACTGTCTCCTAGGACTGTGCCATCCAGGGTCCACAATCTTAGTATCTAGTCTATGGAGGAGAAAGGGAGTAGCGATTAGGCAAAGGGCCATCTTCAGGCTCCAGTAGAAACTAGTAGTATAAATAAAACAAATTATCATATATATTAAAATATTTTTGAAACAATGAAATAGGTAATTTGGAGAATTATTTGAACTTTTCCTTACTTCCTATATTATCTATCTTCTGTTTCTCTCTCTTTATATATAGATAATATTATTATATTAACATTATATTCATAAAATATATAATGATGTACAATACACAATATACAATATTATTAACTATATTATGTACTACAAATATCTCTATACACAGAGAGTGAGCAAGACAGTTTCTCATATAAGAGAAATCATGTGATATTTAATCTTGCATGTCTGACTTATTTCACTTAGCATTATGTTCTCAAATTATTTTAATAAATATTTCTCTTTCAATTGGTTATTAAATATTTTCTTTGTATTGTACAATCCATGTTATTTCTGAGATTTTAAAAATTTACATTGCTTAATCTCATTTTACTTATTGAGTATTCCAATGCATATATTTGAAGTGTTATGAAACATTATCATTTCAAATATTTTCTTTACATTATTTTCTCTAATGTTTAAGTGCATATATCCTAAGTTCCCAATATATTTTCCATGACTTCTAACTTCAGCTTCCTTTTTTCTTCTCTTTATGTTTTTTGCTGATTTCTGAGTATTGTTGTCTTTATTTTCCATTTGTTTTTTCAGTAATTTCTAATTTATGTTTTTTAATTACAAAACCTTTTGTGGGTCATCATTCTAGAAATTCTATTTAGTTGTTTTTAAACAGATTCTATTTCCTTTCTCTTTTCAATTGTTTTTATTTATTTTTTAACCATGGTGTAATGATAGGGTTAACTTAGGTTTATCTGTGACAGCTCTATTCTTGTCTCCAGGGCTAGTGTGACCCTGACCCTTGGCCTACATAGTGATTAAATATACCACCCAATGATTTATAATGTGTTGTTTAAAGTCCAAAAGTCATCCAGAAGTATCTTGTATCAGTTTGTCTATTCTATTGAAAAAGAATAAACTAATGGTTTTATGTACAATTCACCTGGTTACTCAGCCTCATTTTAACTTCATGAAAGCAGTGTATAAAAGGCTCATCTACTTAACTTATCCTTTGGCTCTATTAAATCATTATTTCTCACATATACCTTTGTGGTTCATGATATACAAATCTCATATCCTGTGACTAAGAATCTGATAGTTGTACTTAGAAATCTCCATTCCTTCTACTGTCTGTGCTTTATATCACCCATTGCATTATATCCTTTTCTTCATTAAAGTCTTACTGGAGAGGAGGCACAGGAGTATTTTCAGTTATCCAACCCTTGTAACTGTAATTAGTACTCTGAGAAAATTAGTTAAAGTAGTGCTCACTTTCATATTTAAATAACAATGGATAAGAGTTTGTTTGAAAGGAAAGTGAAGAAATAGGGTAAGAAGGAGCTTGGATGTCTGGCTAGTGTACATTTGGATGTTGGGGTGACTATTGACATCAGGAAAAACGTATCAATTTGGATGTGGGTAGATCTGTAGATGAGGAAAATAGCAAAAGAGATTTTAAAAATAAATTCTGACTGAAAGAAAGCCAAGAATTCTGTGCCTTGGCTGCCTTTGGCAAAAATAATAGTAAGTAAGAAAAACATGAGGCCTCAGGTCTGCCAAGTTACTACCATTGATTTTGTCTGCAACAGGAAAGGAGATGATAAAAACATGGAGTCATGCATTATTTCTTTTGCTCAAAATGTTACCCAGCATCCCTGATAATCATTGAAAAGGCTATTTAGCCCATGGGCCTGATGGTGAGTGTAGGTATATGGCAATAGATTGCAATTGAGAGACACCTGAAATATAGTAACATTCAAAGAGGTGAAACAGTGTACCTTCTGAAAAGATGTGGACACTCTAATTTGTTGTGCTAGTTGGAGGCAGGAGTATGTAAAAAAAAAAGCCTTAATACACAAAGTAATCTAACTCCACTCATATGATAAATTGAAAACTCCTGAGAGCACTGAAATTTTAAAAAGGTAAACACTTTCAGATTGATTATATAATGATAAAATATGCTCCAAATTTAGACATTTAACCCAAGAAATGATTGATGTGATAAACTGAACTCCAAATTCTTGGTATCCTTATGTGATCCTCCTGTTAGGAGGGTAAAAATATGTGAGAAAGGTTGTCCCAGGCCTACATGTTCAACTGGCCCTTATGGTTTGAATGATGGGGACAAGATCAGAAATACTCAGAAGAAAGGGAAGAGTAAGAATTAAAAGAGTGAAAACAAAAATTTTCAGAATAATTAAATAGGGTAAAATTGCTTAGATGGCTAATTTAAAATGTGGTGGGAAAAGAGGTGATAAATGGAGTGGGTAGCAATATTTTAATAGATTGCTATAAAGAATATGTGAGACATCTGGTTGACCAACTTTTCAAGCTGTAAAGAGAACAATGCAGATTTGTTTAGTTTTTCTCAGCTTTGAATAACATCTTAAATCTTATGAGGACAAAACACACACAGAGACATACACTCACACACACACACACACACACAAACACATACATAAAGATCTTTGGAACTATTGCTAGTTAAAACAATAGAGTTAAAGAAGATATAGTAGATGGTCCCAGGTCAGAGGGGATGTTGCAGTGTGAGCAGGCTACCCAAGAGCATATGCATTGATGTGTGTGACACCATGGGTGAGACCAAACAATTAGAATTGTTCTACACTGGTCTGTAGGGTACTGTCATACATAAATCCAGTAAAAGTACAAAGGACAATAATGTACTGATGTTACGGTGATATAAAAAATATCAATAATTTAAAATAGAGAATAGCACTCAATGTAGACAATTATATACAAATATTTTAATGATTCTGCTATAAATGACTAGAATATATTCCTGGGATGTTTCAGATATTCTGAATAACAAATAGAAAAGAGGGAAGACAGCAAATCTTCTCCTACTTAAAAAGTTGAAAGAAAAGAATGCTATAAAATTCTGTTTTTTATAGTGTTGTAAATGGGCATGCTAGAGGAAAATCTTTGAAATGACCTTACCCACTCAAGTTGTTAATTTAAAACAACATATTATACTTGATATCATGAATGAAGTTTTGACTAGATTGTTAGAGACAAGAATAAGTAGCAACCACAACACACTTTTATAATAATCCAATATAGTGTAGGAAAAAGTTGTTGAGTCTTGAAGTTAATTATATACTATGGAAGTCTAAATGACATTGTGCCTCCAAAGTATCAGCCATACTGGATAGGTGTTAACAATTTAAGATTGCAAAAAGTAAGAAGAATAGGCATTCTTTAATTCACTTATCTAATGCTTTCCTTTTAATTTCTATTAAAGGAACAGTGTCCACTCAGGAAGGTCTTAGAATCCAATATAGTGCTTCTGGGGCACTCTACACTGCCCCCAGTGCTGAGGAGCACAGCTGTCCCCTGCAGTGAGGGGGAGCCTTCCCTTCAGGGCCAACAGACCACCACCCCCAGTGTTGAGGAGCAGAGTCACCCCCAGAGTTGTGGAGGAGCCTTCCAGGCTGCTGTACCACCACCCACAGCACCAAGGAGGTAAGCTGCATGGGCACCAGCAGCACAATCTCCCCCATTGAAATGAAAAGACACTTAAATCTCAAAACCAGAAATCCAGATCACCTAAAGCAACCCCCAAGGGAAAAGAGATGGAGCAATCTGATACTCAATCACCTGGACTAGTTGCATTAGCAACAAAAGAGGATCTGGAAAAAATGAAATCAGAAATAATTTCTCACATAAGAGCACAGATTGTGCCCACAGTTCAAGACATGATTAATAAATCTAGAGAGAGATCACAGATAAAAAAAATAGAGGAGCTGAGGAGCATGATGGAATCCCAACATAGGAAACAAATGGAACCCATAAAACACATGCAAATTTCCAGGAGATTAAAAACATCCATTGAAATTTTACACAGCACAATGAACCAATCTGATACAAAATTTCAGATATAGAAAATAAGATTGCAATTAGTGACTAGGAAAAGAAAAATTTCTTTAAAATAGTAAGGGAACACAAGAAATCAATCCAGCAGCTGCTAGACAATGCAAAGAAGAATAACATAAGACTGATTGGAGTCAATGAAGAAACAGGAGAGAGTGCAGATGAGATTAAAAAAAACTGTTCACAGAAGTGATGGAAGAAAATTTCCCAAACAGGGGAAAAGAATTGACACAGATAAGTGAGGCATATAGGACTCCAAGTAGCTGTGATCAAAAAAAATCTACTCATAGGCATATAATAGTTAAAATTACTGAAACCCAACAAAAGAACAAAATTCTACAAGCAAGTACAGAAAAGGAACAAATCATATACAAAGGAAACCCTATCAGAATCACAGCAGACTTCTCAAAGCAAAACCTCAAGGCAAGAAGAACTTGCAGTGACCTATTTCATGCCCTACAGGAAAACAATCCCCAAACCAGATTGATGTACCCTGCAAAACTATCTTTGAAAACTGATGGAGAACTAAGATACTTTCATAACAAAGATCACCCTAAGATCTTCAGGAATGCAAACCCAGCACTCCAAAAAATTTTAGACAATACCTAAGAAAAGACAATGAGGATCACAATCCCATGAAGCCCAGTAGAATGAATCTATTGGGCATGACAAGATATTAAAGCAAAGGGGGAGAATCCAACAAAAAGAAAAAGTCATGACAATGATAAGTCAATACTTATCAGTTATAACCATCAATGTTAAAGGTCTCAATTCACCAGTCAAAAGAAATAGACTGGCAGAATGAGTAAAGAAGCAAGAACCAGCAATATGCTGCATACAAGAAAGTCACTTAATTCAAAAAGAAACTCATAGACTGAAAGATAAAGG